GCAGTGGGCCTGGTCGTCGAGGAACAGCAGTTGCGTGCGGCCCGCGAAACCCTTGCGGTGACCATGCGCCAGACCGCCAAAGTCCTCCACTACCATCAGGCATCTCCTCTTCCCCTTCGCTTTGCGTTCTCCGTTGCGTGTGTCATTGCGCACGCGTGTCGTGCGGCACTGAGGTCTTATACGCGGTGAATCGTGTGTGGAGCTCAGGCGAAAGCTGATCTGCTGGAGAAGTATAGGGCCAAGCAGCAAGAGGCGGCCGAAGTCGAGGCCAAGCTCCTGCGCATGCTCCATGTCAGCGTCGACGCCGAGCCCAGCCTTGATGGTGCCTTTGACGATGTTTTTGACGATGGTGATGACGCCCACGACGACCATCAGCACCAGGCGGACAATGCGATAGACAGCTCAGCCGGGCGTGTGCTGGTGGACAAGCGGGCGGAGAAGCGGTTGCGAGACAAACTCGCCCGGCACAACAAGAACCTGGCCGATCTGCGGCGCAAGCTGGTGGAGGAGGACAAGCGCGAGCGGGCGCGTCGCCGCAAGGTGCGCGCCAAGCGCGGCGACGCCCTGGCACAGGAAGAGCTGTACATGGAGGACTGGGAAACCATCTTGACTCATACCGGCGCGGATGACGCCGAGCACTATCTGGCCAGGTTTGTCGTTGTTGTCGTCGTTGTTGTTCTTGTCGCCGTCGTCGGTGTACTGGTGCTTATGATCTGGGCCTACAGTGTGCACGAGCGGCGGTTGGAGCACGAGTTTCTGCTGCAGGCCGTGTCCGTCCGCATGGCGGAGCTGGCCCATCGCGAGGAGCAAGTGGTGGAAAAGCTCACTCACGCCCTCAAGCTGCAGTACAGGAAGATCGCCCTGGTACGTACCTACCATCACGTCTTCATCTTCTTGTTCGGTCATTCGAATGGATACCTTTTCCTCATTCATGTCTTCACCTCGTGATCGTCTGTGCAGCGCTACCATCCGGACAGGAGCGACAGCGAGTCGTCAACAGAGATGTTCCAACTCCTGTCCAAGGTAGATCTCGGCAACACCAGCAAATGACACTTCTTTCCCCTGTGCGATGACGTTAACACTTCCCTCGCTTTGACAGGCCTACGCCGTGGTCGGCGACACCCAGAAGAGGCGAGTTTACAACGATATGGGGAACCACACGCTCTACCTGTGCGTGCACGAGCAGGACAAGGACGAGCTGAGTACGGGCCCGCTGCATAAGACGCGCCCTCGTTACGTGTCGCTGGTGCGCTGACGCAGTCGCTCTCTCAAATGCAGGAATGGCGGACATCAGGGACGCTAAGAAAGCGAAGAAGAACGGCCAGCACGACGTGCTTCGTATCACCAGCGGAGCGCCAGCCAAGATGCGCTGCCCGACTGTCAAGTTCATCCGCTCGCGCATTCATGGTGCGCAGCTACCCGCACCCCAAAGCTCGAGTTGGCGTACTAAACCCCGCTCGCAGTGTCGTGGACCCCACTCGATAGTAGTGCGGACTACAGATACTCGGTGGGCATGGAGA